AGTATCTAGAATAAATTTAATGAATGAAGTGAAAGATTTCTATGATGAAAACTGTAAAACATGAATGGCAAAATCATTGAAAACACACAGAAATAGAGATATCCCAGGCTCATTGGTTAGAAGAATAGTGTGAAAATATTCATACTATCCAAGTAATTTACAGATTCAATGTGATTCCCATCAAAATAACAATGGCATTCTTTACAGAACTAGAAAAAATAAGCACAGAATTCATATGGAACCACAGCTGACCTTGAAGAGCCAAAGCAATTCTGAGAAGAAACAAAACCAAACCTGGAGGCATCACAGATCTGACTTCAAAACACAGTTGCAAAGCTACAATAACCATGACATTTAAAAAATGGCAGTACTCATGGGATGCACACACACCCAGCAGCAGGCATTTGGTCTAGTGGCTGACACCTACCTACAGCCCATTTTCAAGTGCCTGGGTTCAAGCTGGGAGCTCCTCTCCTAACTTCCTGCTATTGCACACCCTAGGAGGCAACAGGGATGGCTCCAGTAGTTGGATTCCTGCCATACGTGTGGGAGATCTGCACTGACTCCCAGGCTTCTGGCTAGGACCTAGCTCAGCTCCAGCTATGTGGGCGTTCAGGGAGTGAGCCGATGAATTGGAGATGTCTGTCTCCCAGCCTTTCAAATAATTAAAAAGAAAAAAAAATTCATGTGATTTAAAATGTGTAAGCCACTCTTACAAACTGACACTTAGTACTGGCACATGTTGTGGGGTCTAGTGCTGTCATCTGACAGGTGTATACACCATGTAATGACCAAATCACTCCCATCTCCTCTGATACTCTAATTTCTGCGTTGGGAGCCTTCAAACTCCTTCAGTATTTTAAAACGCATGTCAATCGCTGTCAAGCTCGGCTGGTGCAGAACATAATTCCTTCTCCCGTTACCCCACCTCTCACCACCCCCACTGCCTGGCCTGCAGGGCTCTATCCCACCCTTCACTTCCAGGCTGGTTTTTCAGTTTCTACAGATGAGCGGGACGGTGCAGTGTTTGTCTGTGCCCAGCTGGTTTCCCTTCATGTAACGCCTCTCATTTCCATCCCTGTTGCCATAAATGACAGGATTCCATCCTTTTCATGGTTGAGTAATATTCCACCCTGCATACACACTCTTTTAAAAAACTTGTCCCTCGATGATCATCTTGATGGATTCCACAGCTTGGCTTTTGGGAAGAGTGCTACAGTGAGCATGAATGTGCAGGCGCGATTTCACTTCATTTGCAGATATACCCAGCAGTGGGACCGCTGGGTCGTATGACAGCTCTGCTCCCAGTGTTTTGAAGAACATACGTACCACTTTTCATAATGGCCGCATCAATTCATATTCCATCAACAGCGTGTAAGAATTTCGCCTTCCTGCATCCTCATCAGCACTGACTGTCTTTTTGATTAGAGCCATTCTAACTGGGGAGAGATTACACATCACCGAGGACTTGACCTGCATTTCCCAGGTGATTCCCACTGTTGGACGTTTTTTCATAGATGTATAAACCGAGACATAACTATTCAGATTATTTGACATTTAAAAACCAGATTTTTCTGTTTGCTGTTGTTTCTTACGCGTTCTGTGTATTAACCCCTTGTCAGATGAATATTTTACGAATACTTTCTCCCATTTGTAGGTTATTCCTGGACTCTGCTCCTTTGCTGCATGTGAGCTTCTTAGTTTGACATAATCCCAGCTGTCTACATTTTAGAAGAGGAGAATTTCACACACTGACTTGCTTGTGGTACACGAAGCTTTCTTTTAGAAAGTTTCATAAAGAACAACTTCAAGATCCATATATACTATGGATTTTCCTATCACTCATGGGATTTTAAAAACCAGAAACGTATTGTTTAGTCTACTATTTGATGTGCTGCTGCCAGCTCAAGTGTGGAAAAAGCACTATTTCCTTTTATTTCTTTACCATTTTGCTCCAGCTTAAAAAGAAAAAAGTGGGCGCCTTCTTGGTTATAAGGACGGAATAGATTGAACCATACATAAAGCACTTAAAAGTAGACTGTGACTTATACTACACAATTGTTTACTCACCTTAATCAGTGTTTACTATCTCGTTAGAGGTGATTTGAACCCTGAGTTTTTGTAACGATCAAATGTAACTACACAAACTTACTGCTCTGTGATGCGTATCACATTTGAAAATCCAGTAACTTCATTTTCCCTTGCTATGGAACATTAATACGAAACTATCTGAAGAAACAGTGCTTTGCTATTGTTGACAAACCTATTTTTAGCAACTGAAATTCAAAACCGCACAGAACAAGGCCAGGCCATAAGTGATGTGATTGATTTCCACTCTGTTCATTGTGTGACCTTGAGTTGTACAAAGCTAATAAAATATTAATATGCACATCTTGCTAAAGTTCAAAATTAATAAAATAACACCAATCTGAAGGCTAAAAACCAATTACTGGAAATATATTTTCTATGATGTTTTGACTGCATTAATGCTTGAAGTATTTTTCTGGTATTTTTCATCCTGAAACAGATTTGCAACCCCAAATGGCAAACAGGAGCCCCTAGAGTAGAACTCCAGGAAGGACAGTCAGTATGCTAGATTCCAAAGCAATAAAATCCTCTACCTTTTAATTTGCAATGGCAAAAAAAAAAAAAAAAGGCAAAAAAAAAATTTGCAGTGGCAAATAGGACACAACACATCTGAACACAGGCACCATCAGGAGTCAGTTCAGACAGCAAATGGGAAAGTTCAGACCGAAGCAGCACTCAAATGGTATGTCAGCATCACAGGTGGCCTAACCTGCTACACCACAACGCTAGCCCCTAGTTAGTTTTTAAGATGCGTATGTAGGGGCCAGCGCTGTGGTGTAGCGGGTAAAGCTGCCGCCTGCAGTGCCGGCATCCCTTATGGGCACTGGTTCGAGTCCCGGCTGTTCCACTTCCAACCCAGCTCTCTGCTGTGGCCTGGGAAAGCAGAAGAAGATGGCCCAAGTCCTTAGGTTCCTGCACCCATGTGGGAGACCTGGAGGAAGCTCCTGGCTCCAGATCGGTTTAACTCCAGCTATTGCGGCCATTTGGGGAGTGAACCATCGGATGGAAGACCCTTCTCTCTCTCTGTTACTCTGATTTTCAAATGTAGGGGCTGGTGCTGTAGCATAGCAGGGTGAGCCACCAGCGCCTGCAGTATCGGTATCCCTTATGGGCACCAGTTTGAGTTCCGGTTGCTCCACTTCTGATCCAGCTCTCTGCTATGGCCTGGGAAAGCAGCAGAGGATGGCCCAAGTCCTTGGGCCCCTGCACCCGTGTAGGAGACCCGGAAGAAGCTTCTGGTCCTGGCTTTGGCCTGGCCTGCACCTGGCCGTTGTTTCCATTTGGGGAGTGAACCAGCAGATGGAATATCTCCCCTCTAATTCTGCCTTTTAAAATAAATAAAATTAAAAAAAAAAAAGATGCACATGTAAAACATAAAAGTTCAACAGAATAAAAAAATACAATTTTTAATGAGTTAGTATTATATTTATATAATGGGCCTATATGCTTTTTTAGATCTTAGAGCAACATAAAATGAAGGAAAGTATTAGACATAGAAGCCTTGCATGTAAATACTAAGATTCAATTTTAAACTTGCAAGATAATTTTAAACTTTTATATACCTAGCAACAAAACAAAACAAAACAAAAATAAGACAAAAATTGATAGAATTACACAGAGGCAAAAAGGGAGAGAAAGAGACACTGGTTCACTCCTCAAAGGCAGGGCCAGGCTGAAATGGAGTCAGGAACTCAGTCTGGGTCTCCGGGGCAGTTGGGGGGGGGGGGGGAGGACTACACGCTGCCTCCCAGCACATGTGTTAGTAGGAAGTATGAACTGGGATGGAGCTGAGCTTTGAACCTAGGCCCTATGATACGGGATAAGAGGATTCTCAACTGGTATCAAGTACTAGGCCAGATGCCCGTCTCCAAAAATACTTCAAAGTTTTAACACATTTTAACTTTTATAAAATTACAAAACATTATTGCATTTGACCATGACAATAATTGGTCCTGTGCTCAATGACATAAACAGAACAAATCCTGAAGTATATACTTATTAAAATCGATTTTTATACCTAAATAACAAAATGACTTTGAAATGGGCAAAAATACTTACCAGTAAAAATACCAAAATGAGGGAGGGCATTTGGCCTGGCAGTCACAGGCTGGTTATGATGCCCATGTCCACATCAGAGTATCTGGGTTTGATTCTAGTTCCTGACTCTAGGAGGAAGGGGCGCCTGAGGAATCCAGTCCCTGGTTTCCTCCCCCCCCCCCCCCAACAGGGGAAACCGGGATGGGGTTCCCTGTTCCTCCGGGGGGCCTTTTGGGCCTGACCCATTGTTTTGGGGGGGGGGGGGGGGGGGGGGGCACGTACTGGTCTCTCAAAACAAATTCTAAAAATTTAAAATATATCAAAAGGAAGGTAAATCAACTCTTTTAAAGCTATGTTGACTAGCTACAAAGTTACACAGACAGACCTGAGTATCTTCATGTTTAACACACAAAAGCATTCACTTTGGTTTAGGAAGCCCCTCGGATGTTTATGTACTATATACAAATGCATGAGGCATTCACTATTCGTAGATGAACAAAAACTCTCCGGAATCTTCGCCGCACAAGGTGGGTAGCACGGTTAGGGCACAGTCCTGCTGGTCCACAGAACCCTGATCCCTTGGTCACAGCATCCGCTCAGCGGTGTGCTGGCCATTCGCAGCATTCCAGAGAGTGCTGTGACACAAAGGGAATTTTCATCTGAGATTCCCCTCCCTCTTCACGTGTGGGATATTTTTGGAAGTATTTTTTTTTCAGCCACTGAAAGAGAATTAAGGACATTCCAACGTGCCTTGGTGTCAGCAAGTGCTCTTTCTGGTCCAGGTACCGAGGATGACTGATGAACCTGTCAAGCCCGCAGTAGCGGACACAGAGAGTTGGCAGACGGTCAGTGTTACTGAAAGAAATCTCAAATACTTATTTCATCTCCTCTATCAACTTTAATTACATTTTCACCATGCAGCCAGGAACGGAGCTTTGACAGTAAGCCATAAATTCACACAGCAAGCACTGTCAGTGCTCCGCAGCTGCCACGCTGAGACACCACGACAGACTTGGATGTTTCTTCCTTCTGCCTTTCTCTACTGAAGAGCAATAAAAAGCATTCAAAAGGCTCGCTTACCCACATTTGCCATAAACCTGACATTATTGCTTTGAACTTCTGCATGGCTTATGGCAAATAAAAAAAAAAACCTAACTTACTTTCTCAATTAGATTGTTAAATGCAAATTTCCAACCATCACAGTGATGACAGAATTGGTACATGTTTCACCATAATACACTTGCTTGTAAGGACAGACGTTAACACTAAAGAGGATTTACATGTCATGTGGATCATTTACCATGTGAGCAAACACTTCTGGTTCATAAAGAGCCCAAATCCTTCCGGAGGGGTTCCTTGGCAAGCTTCACAGAATACTCACTCAACAGCTGAAACAGGTACAGACTTCAGTATCTTAAAAATAAAGCTCACCCACAGCAGACAGACACAAAAATGAGGTAAATACCATGGGCAAGATAATGGTTCTTGGAAAGGCTAAAAAAAGGTCAAGATACATTTTTGGTAAGCTTTTCCTCCTAAGCATGTTTTAAAAGCTGAAAATATTAAGTGCTGGAAGGCTCCCAGACTTAACACGTGTGCTTTGTTATCCAACAAAACATGGCGTTCGGCTGCACTGCAAACTCGCAGCCTCTCCCAGCTGGCAGTGCACGGCCAACTCGGCCGCCGTGAAGACAGTGTTGGGATCTCCACTTCTCTTAAACATGATCTGTGCTCCAAGGCCAGCTGACTTTTGTCTAAATTCCTCATGGAACAACACTTAATGCATTCTTCTAATAGCCGGTGGGCTACAACAGGTAGCTCTTATACTTGTCTTCTAAACCACAGTAATAAACCGCAAGTAATTCTGTATATGAATGAACTAAAATATCTTCCTAATCTATACCTACAGTTCTCTGAGACAATCAATGGGAAAAAGGGTCAATTCTGATTAACAAAAAAGTAAAATTATCCCATTTTTTTCCTCCTACTCCTTCCCTTTCCAATAGTCGGATCTAGGCACTTAAAACCAGGAAGATGTAGCACTCTGAAACACCCCATCAGGACCCCAGAAGCTCCCTTCTTCTGATGGAAAAGTGTGTTCTCCAGTGCGTTGCTAGGCTGGAAGCAGAGGTGAGGCGGCTGGGTGGGCGTGTCTGGGAGTCAATGTTTCCTCGTCGTCTGCACTGCTGCGGCTCAGCTCCTTAGAAGGTTGCAAACTTGGCGAGGTCCTTCTGCATCTCGGCATACTGCTCCCGCAGCCTGGCCACCGCCTTCCTGTGCTCTTCGTCCACTGCTGCCCGCTTCTGGGGCTGTTCCTTCATAAACTCTTCCCACTGGAGGCTGCGCCGCTTCTCGTTAGCCACCAAGCGGTCATTATACATCTGGGAAAAGAGAATTGGAAAGTCACATGACGTTTTCCAATTACTTCCCTATGCAGAAGAGACAAATCTAAGTATCTCTCGATATCTAGTTACTGTGACAATCAGCTGGGAAGCCACGATGATAAAATAATATTCTAGTTTAATGTCTGGCTACAGTATGACACATTAGAAACAACTAAGGTTTCTATTATCATAACAGCATGGACACGCACATTTGTGAAATTTTTAATAACTTTAAATGACAAAGTTAAGCACAACACCCAAGTAAATTTTCCTAATTCTACTTTTCCTTATATTCCATTGAACTGCATAATTTTTTATCAAGTTTAAAGAATACTTGCTAAAAGAATCACTATTGTAAGAAAGTAAATGCCTGTCTTTTTTTTAAAATTTATTTATTTGAAAGTCAGAGTTACTCAGAGAGAGAAGATGATGGAGAGGGAGAGGGGGAGGGGGAGGGGGAGGGGGGGAGAGAGAGAGAGGTCTTCCATCTGCTGGTTCACTCCCCAGTTGGCTGCAACAGCCAGAGCTGCGCCAATCTGAAGCCAGGAGCCAGGAGCTTCTTCCAGGTCTACCACATGGGTGCAGGGGTCCAAGGAGTTGGGCCATCTTCTACTGCTTTCCCAGGCCATAGCAGAGAGCTGGATTGGAAGTGGAGCAGCCAGGACTCAAACCAGCACCCATGTGGGATGCCGGCACTGCAGGTGGTGGCTTTACCTACAATGTCACAGGGCTGACCCCATATTTTTTAAGCCTGTCTTATTTTTAAAATGCATTAAAAAGAAACACCACATATTAATTTTTGGAAAGATTTACTTATTTGAAAGGCAGAGCGAAAGAGCATGAGAGAGAGATCTCCCATCCACTGGTTCACTCCCCAAATGGCCCCAACAGCCAGATCTGGTCCAAGTTGAAGCCAGGAGACTGGAATCCACCTGGGTCTCCCACATGGGTAGCAGAGGCATACGCAACTGGGCCAACCTCCACTGCCCTTCCAGGTACATTAGCAGGAAGCTGGAGCAGAAGTGGAGCGAGCAGGACTCAAACTGGCACTTCCACATGGGATGCCAGTGTTGTCACAAGCAGTGGCTTAAACTGCTGTGCCACAACGCCAGCTCTAGAACCACAAATAATTAATCACTGAATGAGAACCCAAGAAGTCTGTTTAGTTCCAGGCCTTAATGCGAATCAACATATAAAACCTCTCTGTTAAGGATCTAAGTTCTTCTTGAGATGATCCTTACTATTTCCACACTGGGATGCAAAATTTTTTTCAGCAAAACAATATAGATGAAACACTATATAAATGAAAAAAGGCATAAATTTAGTCTTCTTACCCTAAATTGTATTTTCAACTATCTTTGAACTGTTCCGCAAGTTTTGACACAAAGTTTTATTAAACAAGCCAGAAAAACCCACAAAGCATCTGAGGCCTTCGCTGACTCCAGGGTGCTAATTCCAGAACTCTAACAAGAAAATGGCACCTGGTATGCTCAGACGTTACTAACACCGTTGCCAGCAGCCAGAAAAACGGTCACTAAGAAAAAGCTCTGTCCAGAATGCCCTTGACGTACTATTCTCTCTCTTCTGGGTGAAGAGCAGAATGCAGAGCTGGTTAAACCTGAGCAGGATGGAGGGCTGGTTAAACCCGTCTGCTCTACCCACGCATGAAATGCACAGCTTAGCCACTTCTAAAAGTATTATCTACTTCATGAAAGATTACACCACTCTCGTTCTAGACAGAGAAATGTGGCTTAAAAACACTTCATTACTTCTCCATGTTGCTCAACCAATAGCTGAGCTGTAGATGCAAACTCAGGTCTGTCTTATACCCAGACCTATGCGTTTCCCATCACAGAGTACGAGGAGGAAGTCTGACATGGGCAGCTGGGTGTCTAAGCTCTTGCAAGAGCTTTTCTGCCAAGTGACCTGACGTCCCTCGAGCATCAAGGTTTTCCCAGTGAAGGGAGGTCCAGCGAACCTGAAGCTGAATGACAAACTCCCTTACATTCGACCCACAGAGCCTTGGCATCACAGGAGTGGGGGAGCTGAGGAGGGATTTCCTCATACCATGAATCTGGGAAGCAGGTCAAACACAGTGTAATCCATTACCCTTTAATGTTTCAGTTTCATGAATTCTAAAACATAAGTGAAGCATGAAGAGTTCATTAAACTCAATGGCACTTTTGGAAAAATTGTTAGTCTCAGAGAAAAAGGCATAGGTTAGAAAGAGAAAAATGCAAATAAACATCAAAATGGTATTTTAATTTTTTAAGATTTATTTATTTATTTGAAAGGCAGAGTTACAGAGAGGCAGAGAGAGAAAGAGAGAGAGAGAGAGAGAAAGTCTTCCATCCAATAGTTCACTCCCCAAATGGCTGCAATGGCCAGAGCTGTGCCGTTTCAAAGCCAGGAGCCAGGAGCCTCTCCCAGGTCTCTCACGTGGGTGCAGGGGCCCAAGGAGTTGGGCCATCTTCTACTGCTTTCCCAGGCCATAGCAGAGAGCTGGATTGGAAGTGGAGCAGCCGGGACTCAAACCAGAGCCCATATGGGATGTCGGCACTGCAGGCAGAGGCTTTACCTGCTATGCCGCAGCACCAGCCCCATTTTTCTTTAGTTTTAATTTTATTAAATACAGAGGATTGCTCCTCTCCACGGAGGCGGGGGGGCCGGCAGCAAACCCGGGAAGGGCCGGGCAAAGAGAGCAGTGCAGGGTCTGGTGTCGTTCCTCCACGAGTTGGGGAGTGACATAATGGTGCCATGACTCGGATATGAAACCTAGGAGGGAAGAAGCGGGAAAATACCGGAAAGAGACTAGAGAGAGCCTAGGGAAAAGCTGGACGGAAGAAGTGCGGGGAGAAGCTAGGAGAAATCTAAGATTTAAGCGAAAGTGAAAGTTAGAAAAAACTTAGACTCGGATATGGACTGTGGGGAGAAGCTAGGAGAAATGAGAGAGAAATATCGCTGGAAGAAAGCTAGGAAAAGTACCGGGGAGAGAAAAATATAAGCCAGGGAAAGTGAAGCCGCGGGGGTAGGCCAAAGCAGAGACGTAAGCAAGGTTGGGATTTGTCAGATTAGCCCGGGGAGCAAAGACAAAGCCAAACCGAAAGCGGAGACGTAAGCTAGGTTGGGATTCGTCAGATTAGCCCGGGGAACAAAGACGGAAAGCCAAGCCGAAAAGCAGAGACGTTAGCAAGGTTGGGATTCGTCAGATTAGCCCAGGGAACAAAGACTGAAGCTAAGCTGTAGCGGAAACGTAAGCTAGGCTATGATTTGCGGAAGCCGCCGAGCAGATAGGAGAGCGCGCGGGGCACAAGCAGATAGGAGCGCGTGCGGGGCACAAGCAGATAGGAGCGCGGGGCGCGAGCACATAAGAGTGCAGGGTTAGCACGGAGGCCGCAGGGCAAGTGCGAAAGGGGCGAGCGCGAATGGCGCAGAGACCATGGAGCACACGTGGAGCCGGGAAGCCGCGCAGATAAGAGAAGTGCAGGGCGAGCGCAGAGGCCGCGGAGCACGTGCGGAGCCAGGAAGCCGCGCAGATAGGAGGAATAAAAATGCCCGGAGCTATTAGTAAAATGAGAGAAATAGGAATGCCCAGAGATAGAAGTAAAATGAGAGAAATAGGAATGCCCAGAGACAGAAGTAAAATAAGAGAAATAGGAATGCCTGGAGATAGAAATAGAGAAAAATAAAAAAGGCCTCCCCACAACACGGCAATGAGAGGACCCGGATTCGGTCTGCCTGATTAGTAAGGCGATAAGCACCTGCGGGCAGCTCGAGCAGAGTATGCGCTGCAGGGCACCGAAGACAGGCATGTATCAACACCAATAAAGGCCTCCCCACAACATGGTGATGAGAGGACCCAGATTTGGTCTGCCTGTTTAGTAAGGCGATAAGCACCTGTGGGCAGCTCGAGCAGAGCAGAGCATGCACCGCAGGGCACCGAACACAGGCACGTATCAGCACCTAAAAGCCTCCCCACAACATGGCGATGAGAGGACCCAGATTTGGTTTGCCTGATTGGTAGGGCTATAAGCACCTGCGGGCAACTCTAGCAGAGCAGAGCAAAGTATGCGCTGCAGGGCACCGAAGACAGGCACGTATCAACGCCAAAGAATAAAAAGAAAGGGGGAATTGTTGGGAGCAACCGAGACTAGACTAAATTACTGGAACTGCTAGGACTAATTCTATGCATCTGATCTCCCACAATATGGCGCTGAGAGAGCAAACAACTTCCACACAGCTGCCTCACCAATTCAACTAACAAGCTGCAGGAGCTGAACCTGCTCCTGATTGGAGGAGAGCAGCGTGCTCGGCGTGTGGGTAGCAGAGTTGGGATGGGTGGAAGAGGACTATAAAGGAGGAGAGAGACAACATGCACCAGGAACATCTGAGCAACCCCTGAGAGAGCCGGCCGGCAGTGTGCAGCTCCTCCGCAGAAGCAGGGAAAGTGGCGAGGGTGCTGCCCCTCCGCGGAGGTGGGGGGGGGGGGGCTGGCAGCAAACCCAGGAAGGGCCGGGCAAAGAGAACAGCGCAGGGTCTGGTGTTGTTCCTCTGCGAGTGGGGGAGCGACAGAGGATATCAAACATGCATTATTTAGATGCTACTTAATTTATTCATTTCTTTTTTATTCAAAGCCCATTCACCTGCTCGGGTCAACAGTGCAGGTTTCCGCCTGAGGAGGCAGCACTTGCCCCAGTGTAGCTCAGGGGAGAAAAACAGACACGGAAGACACGATATTAACCTTGATCCAGACTCTGGCTCACTCCTACGAGATGTATGACGCTGCACAAGTTAAAGTTGCTTTAACTTGAAAACCAGGAAAGTAACACATTCATGAATACATTTGTGAAGAGTAGAACAACACATGCCAAGTTCCTAGTTCAGTCCCTGAGACGCTTAATGAAAGGGAAGTGTTGTTATACAAATCACTAGGCAGACCACACCACTGCTCATTCCCTTGTCATGCAGGTTTTACTCTGTAGTTGAAAAATTTTTGT